AAAGGAAAATTTACACGGCTTACAGAGAAAGAGCTTTTTCATACTATTTCTCCCACTTCTTACTAGTCATGTGAGGTAAAGCAATAATTTAAAACAGGAAAAATATAGTCAGTTAAATTTAGACACACAGCATGCAGATTAATGACCATATCTAACAATGCTTCCTTTAAGTTTTCATACAGGTAAGCTATAGAGCTACTCATATTATAAAAGGCATAAAAGACATGTATTAAAAAAAAAAGAATAAAAGAAAAGGGGAGAGAGGATGAGCGAAGTCACATGAGCTTGTCTTTTCTAAAAGATAGCATCATAGACCTTATGCACTATCTGACAACTAAAAAAGCCACAATTCAGAGCCCAACTTGACCTTGCAAAACCAGAGAGAGCAAGGAAAATAAAAGCTAATTAAACTATTTCCACCAGAGATCAAGTGGTAGTGGTACAATCCTCCAAAGGAAACAAAAGGATACAAACCTTCTGTGTATCTGCAATCGCAAACACATAATCACTTTAACCAAAAATAGACCACGTAGGGCCAAATATAACATATGAAAATGAAAAGATTACATTGATGAATAAAATATAGAGGCCGAAATGAAGCAAGATAAAATTGAAGCCAATAATAATGCTTCAGGGTCCTTCGACATAGCAGTTGATAGCCTGCAGGAGTTACAACCTCCAAAATCAATAATCATCAATGTTTTCAAATACAACAGCCCCAGTTAACTTATCTATTATCTCAGAATATAGACAAATGAATTGATGAACATCATACAGGGATGTTTTGATATTCAAGGAGCGTTTTCATCTTGTTTTGTAGAAGATGAATCCATTAGTGATGGATTTCTTTTGTGGCCTTATTGCTCAAACAATCAAGTTCTAGTTCATCTATGGGATTGCAATTAATTGTCTGTCTATCAAATTCAATAATATCTTTGCACAGATGGTTCACTTCTAATGGCATCTTGATGATGAATTTCATAAAAGAGTCAGTTTAATACTCTATGGAATTAGGCTATGTCCAAATAAGAAAATTTTTAATAAGGGTGAACAAAAACCAGAAACAGCTTTAAGGTCGATTAATGTGTTTCTACTTTCTACATCAATATTGGCATCTGCCCATCTCAATACTGAACGGATAGTGAAACAATGATTAAAAATATCGCAGTTTAACAACAAAGAAAAGAATGAAAAGAAGAAAATTCTTTCTCATAGGGTTTAACTTTCTATCTTATCAAGGAAAAACCCATAAGTTTAATTTGCTCATGTCCATGCACGTAGGATAGGCTAGCTACTTTGTGGGTTGGACTATTTCATTGATGCTATAATCAAAGTTTGCACGAAAGAATGATGCTTCTTTTAGTATTACAAACCAGCATAATGCACGTTCTTTTACGCAAAGTTCTAAGAAGCACGAAAAGTATATTTGTCTTCAACCAAAAACCCTTCTTGCATTAATACTCTAAGAAGAAGTCGGCATTCATACCGAGTTACATGTCGATGCGTGGGAAAAATAAATAGCAATGTGCAGCAACTTATGCTAACCCTGAACAAGTGATAATACATTTATTTTTTACTGGGAAGATATTAAGGTATAGTTTGTAGTGTTTTTGGCTTAGTACACGCAGATTAAGGCAACTTTATCCAAATGTGTTTTCTATCTCTGGACAATTGAGAAAACCATGCAAGAGAACTTAGTTTGTACAATGTCCAGGCATCAATAAATGAAAAGAAGTCCTTAAAATTAAAAACTCACTGTGGCACCAAGAAAATTATTGCACTTATGGAAGGCAGAAGATTACAAAATACTTTTAATTAATCATTGATCGCGAGCAGCAGCTTAATAGTTGGCAGGACCTCCAGCTGTTTGACCAGCAGGAAAGTGTAGGCCAAGAGAAAAGGGGGAGAATTATTTTAGTTTTTTTTTAATTGAAAATAAAGCATATATTAGCGGAAAATGTACAAGTAAATAAATACAAAATTAAAGGGTGAGGATTAATGCCTTTCACATGCTACCCCTTCCTTAAAGCAGAGAGGATTGATGATAAAAGACACCAAAATGATCAAGGCTATGTAAACCTATTCTAATAACCTCTCTAATTTGGTCACCCCCATCAATACAAGAGTATAGCCCAAAAACAAAAATCCCAAAATAAAAATACATGTAACAGCTTCCATCCAAAACAAAATACATTAATGGCTAAATGGATCATGCTGATAGAAGCATGCATGCGGGCAACTTCTGCAAAAACAAGAATTAGATAAATATAAAAAATTTTATGACAAACTAGGGGACAAAAAATTCCACACTAATCAGAGGCTTTAATTATGTAGCATAAAGGATATTTATATGTGTATTTAAGGACTATAGATCACTCTTGTTTATAGCAAAAAAATAAAAATAAAAAAGATTAAAGAAAGCACACTTATATAAATATAATATTTTTATTTGAATTAGAAAATGGTTTTTTTTTGTCTTGTTGACATTTATTATACATTTCTTCTTTTATTTTTCATTAAATATTAGTTAGAGAAGTATGCTATTAAAACATGCATATTTAACGTTACTAAAAAGAAATAAGTATATTTAATAGGGATGAAAATAGAAACTTATTAAACTTTTAGATAAAGTTAATGAGTTTTAATTTTTTTTTATTTTTAATAAAACATGTTGGAGGTGGCTTATGTGAGAATTGAGATCTAAGGGTGATTTGCATATATTTTTATTAAATAAAAATAAACATGGAATGATGATATCAATTTAAAAATAATTAATTAACTTATTGAGAGGTATGATTTGGTTAACGATGCTTTATAATTTTTAATAGAGGGAGTACATTTTTTAAAAAAAGAATTGGCCTGTCACGTCCTAAAAATGGAGAGTGATCAATCCAGGGTATGAACTGTTTTATAAATCCCTATAAGCCTCAAATCATAAATTCATTCTATTTCTAAAAGGTAATCATATTTATATTGAAATTATAACACTTTTTGATACTAATCATTATAACAAAGTTTTAACATGTTCATAGAAGTTTCGACAGAACCTCCTTATAAATAGGATCTTTTGAAATTTCTACAATACATTAATTTAGTCATAATATCAAATAAATCCCGAGCTCAACTCCTTCCAGCCAGCAAGCAGTATATAAGTCAAAATCAAGTCATAACAATAACCTAGATGGAGCAACCAATCTTTCTTCTAAATTAAAATACATGAGTATTAAATATTTACATAAGAAGGTAGCAATATCAAACAAAATTACCACCTCATATAGCTATATAGCCCCTTCAGAGGTCAGCAGTAAGATTACTGTCAACTAGTGAATTTGAGACCAAAATAAATTTTATAGTGAATAGCATCCCCATAAATATCATTTAAAAGAGTAAAAATAATAAGCTTAAATAATCACGTTCAATAATTAAAAAGGGAATAGTTCATTATCATAACTAAAAAATCTAAATTTCTAATCATGAATGAGAGCAAATAGGAAGCATTTCATTCTATCATGCTCAAAGAAATAAAATATTCATACTTAAATCAAAATAATACACTTGCTAACCAAATTCACTGAAATTTTGAAAATACATGTTAATCAAAATTGAGAATTGTGAGAACTCAACAGAACAGGTAACAAATATGGACATATAATTTACAAGGGTAAATAACCAAATACCGTTTATGCCATAAAGATAAACGTGAACACACAGTCTATGAGGGTAAGTAACTAAACGTAGCATGAGCTACAAAAACAAATATGAATACACAATCTACAAGGATAAGACTAACCAAACACGGGTCAAAGCCACGAAATTAAATGCAGGTACAATACCATGAATAACAAATGTGAGAACAAAGCTCACAAAAACAAATTAGCTAGTCATTGATTAAGGCGCACCAAGGGCTAACAGAACTGTCGTTAGCAGTAGTATTCTGCTTTGAGTTTTCTTAGAAATCACATTTTGAACATATGAGAGAAAAAAAATCATTTTTGAAATACAATTTACATTCTTAATATCAAACTTACATGAATCATTTTAAATTCCAATTTAATATTTGTCAAAAATAACATTTCATAAACAATGTGCATAATAGCATTTATTAAATATTCAAAAGTTTTCAAAATAAACAAATAAAAATAACACCATAAATCTTAAATATCATAAATCTAAAAAAAATATAACTCATACATAAATACACACACACACCACCTCTTAGTTATCCTTTGCAACCATTTATATTTTCTTTTGATAAAATAATTTCATTCATAACATACCCAACTTACCATTGCACACAAAAGTGATCTATATAAAATAAATATTTCAATTAAATAAAATAAAACTATTATAAGTAAATTAATTGAGATGCTATTCACTTACTTGTTGGAGTTTCAAATTCTCAAAGATATTTTTTCTTTAATTCTCATCAAGGTTCTATTCCTTTAAACACCCTTAAAGGTCTCACACGCATGAGCAGAGGAAGAAGGAGGCAACTTCATGTATTAACAGTAGAAAGGAGGGATTGAAGTAGTGATAAAGGAGGAAGAATGATGGTGAAATAGAGGAAGAACGCAACAGTGGAAAACCTAACAGTGGAAGGTACACGAGCGGTGATAACTCACATGAACGGCGGTGCGGCAATGGTTTAGACAAAAGAAGGCAGAGATAGATGGTGATAGGGCAAGATTCTGTAATAACCCTAGTAAATATATATATATATATATATATATAATGTAATAAATAAATATATGAGTTTGTGTTTTAATAATAATTATATTAATTCTTAGGATATACGTGATAAGAAGGAAAGTTGTCTTAGTAACTATTGAGCAAACATTCTACCCATAGGTTTGAGGTTCGAATCTAGCTAAGGCAAAAAAGGGGGAGATTTTATTTTATTTTCTTGCTTCTAGAAATTACCAAACTGCCCTTATTCTCATCAGATTTTTAAACTCTTCCTTCTTCCTTTTTTTGATGGTTTTGGAGCAAAGAGGGATTTAGAGTCTAATCGAAATTATGCTCTGCCTCCCATCGATCACTGCCTTCTTCCTCCTCAACCGTAGCTAACGCTGTCGTTCGCATGGGTCGCCATCACTGATGTGCCCGCTGCTGGTCTATTTGCCTTAGCTATAAGTTCTTTCCATGTTTCGTCGCTGTTCATCTGCCTCTGTCACTACTTCAAGTATGCATAATCTCTCTTTCTTTCACCTTGTTGTTTCGTGCGCGTACAAATGCTTTGGGTGAGCTTAGATTTCTTCCTCTTGTTCATTTTTCAATTACTGATATGCTCACTCTTCTTCTTCATTCACAGTGGCAGTCCTTCCTTCTTCACTATTCGAAGTTGCTTTATCCTTCCTCAGTCCGTGCATGTTGGTTCATCTAAGGTTAGAAGCTTCAATCTCTCCTCCTTCTCTTTGTATAATCTGTATGGGTGAGTGGCTGGGATGATATTGTGGAGTTTATAAATTTCTATGTGTTGCCTCTATTGCCCGTGCTGAAAATGGGGGAAGAAAGAAATTCAATTGAGCTAGAAAAATCTATCTTGAGGCCTAACAATGATATATATATATATATATATATGGCTCAAAATATTTAAGCTAAGTTGATTTATTGGGTTGGTTGATCTTGAATAATTGTTAGAATGGATTTAAAAGAGAAAGAGCTTAGGTGTGAAATTTGAAATTTATGCCTATAAGATGGTTGTTACAATACTTGTTAGAGGAATTAAACTTGATTTTTGAGTGTTTGAAATTTTGTTGGTTCTTGGGATTAGAATGGATATTGGTATTGTAAGATTTATGGAAGCTAAAATTTGGAAGGAAAGATTAGTCTAAACTTGGGAAAAATATAAACATAAAGTGTTCGAAAGAGTACCTAGTAGGAGAAGTATGAATATGGAAGATATGAAATTATCAATGAACTTATACACTTCAAAGAAATGTAACCATTTAAAATTTTTGGCATTTATGTGGATGATGGTAAATTATTGGATATTTTAAATTGAATAGTTAAAAATAATATATATAAGGTGTTTGGTGAAAATTACAGGTGAAATTCTACTTCAAGTAAATAGAAGGGGATGACTAAAATAAATTGGAAGAAATTAGTAATATGAATGATAATACTTGGACCAACTGTAAAGCATGAAGTTTGATTTTGAAATTTTAAATGATGAGGATTGGTTGAGATTGTATAATACATTAAAAATTGCATTTATTTATGTCTTTATAGGACATGTGAAAGAAGAGGATCTTGATAGAAACTAAAGAAAGAATATTTTGGAAATTTGAAACTGCAGCAAGTAAGTGAATAGCATTCCCTTTAATTTATTTTATTGTGATAGACTTTTATTGAAACATTTTACTCTTATGAATTGCATTAGTTTTGAAAATTATGGAACATTGACGATGGATAATTTGATGATGATATGTGCATTTGTTTTCACAAGAAATAAATTACGAAGAGATATGAAATTATTTTGTTTATTAAACTCTGGAAATGTCTGGCTATTCAATTAACGCAAGCTTGAACATTTTTTATGACGTATTAGTTTCGACAAGTATTAGATTGGAAGTTGAAATGATTCATGCGAGTTAGATATTGAAAATATAAATTATATTTCAGAAGTGATTATTTTCTCACATGTTTAAAACGTGATTTTAGAGGACTCTAATATAACACTGTTGCTAACGACAGTTCCGTTAGCTTGTAGCATGTGTGATTAAAAACTAACTAGTTTATTTCGTGAGCTTTGTTCTCATGTTTGATATTCATGGGCTTTGTAGCCGCATTTGATTTCGTAGCTTGAGTAGCGTTTGGTTAGTATTACCCTCGTAGACTGTGTGTTCATGTTTGTTTTCGTAGCTTTGATTGTGTTTCGTTACTTACCCTCATGGACTATGTATTCATGTTTATTTTCATGATATAAGCCGCGTTTGGTTATTTACCCTCATGAACTGTGTGTCCATGTTTGTTATCTGTTTTGTTGAGTTCTCAAAATTCTAAATGTTGACTAATATGTGTTTTCGAAATTTCCATGGTTTTGCTTAACAATTATATCACTTTGATTTATTTATGAATAAATTGTTTTCTTTAAGCACAATAAAATAAACTACTTCCAATTTATTTTTATTTTACAGTTATGATTATGATTTACAGAATTATAAGTTTATTATGATGAATTGAATTATCATCTTTTTTATTAGTTTACACGATTATTTGAGTTTATTATTTTAATTCTTTTAAATTTTACTCTAGGAATGCTATTCACTGAAAATATTTATTTTGGTCTCAAATTTACTAGCTAACGTTGATCCCACCGACCTCTGAAAGGGCAATATGGCTATATTGGGTGGAATTTTTGTTTGATATTTTATTTTTTATGTCAATATTTAAACCTTATGTATTTTGATTTAAAAAGAAATATTAATTGTTCCACATAGATTGTTGATAGACTTTATTTTGATTTGTATACTAGTTATTGGTTGAAAAAGCTACGCTCCTGATTTATACTATAATCCATAAAAATTTTCTATTATAGAATTTTCGGGAAATCTTAGTTACAAGAGAGGTTCTGCCAAAATTTTTATAAAAATGTTGAAACTTTCTTATGACAATTAGTATCAAGCTATTAGAATTTTCATATAATTTGATTGATTCTTCTAAAAGAAAAAAAAATGGATTGCATTTTCATTTGAGGCTTGCGGGAATATGTGAAATGATTACCCGTGTTGATCATCCTCTATTTTTGGAATGTGACAGGTTCAATCCAAAGCTCTCAACTCTCTCTCTCTCTCTACTCCAGAATGATCGAAGAATGAAAGAAAGAAGAGTTAAAAAATCTAGTGTGATAAGAGTAGTTTGGTAATTTCATAAAGTAAAAAAAATAAAATAAGCTCTTGGGCCTGATCAGATTCAGGCTTGAGACTTGGTGGAATAATACATGTTTAGCTGCCACTACATCAACTTTCTGCATTGTCATATTTGTTTCAGAAATTAATATAATTACTATTAAAATACAAACTTATACATATTTAAAATTTACTTTAAATTCCTGGGTCTTCACATGGCCTCTGTCAACCTCAGGCCTGATTCCACTGAGATTATAATTTTTTTTATCAGACTGAGATTATAATTAACATCTTATTAAATTGTAAATAAATTAGTTCTATATCAAAGTTATCAATAACAGGAGAATTAATATATTTTTTATGCAAGAGAAATACTAAGTTATTGCTCGACGTTAATAGTTAGTACATGAAGACAGAAACGAAATAAGTTTGCAACTCCTGCTGGATAAATTGGATAGGTATGGTGAACATTGAAATTCTTATGCCACTCAATAGAATCTTAGCCGATAATCTTTTAAACCCCACAGTATTTCAACTCAAATGTTTTTCAAAACACATTTGAGGATGGCAAGTTTGCATAAACATGGGTTCTTGGCGAAATTTGTATGGTCAGCGCAGCTAACAGTGCTTTCATTTATGCACCCCCTACCCGACTTTTATCCGCTCATTGAATGGGACAAGAGTTTCACACAAAAGGGGCATGTTACTTTCCTTATTGACATACGACATCATCTTCTTGTAATAAAATGTGTATACAATTGTTTGACCAACATATTATCCTTAAGTTCTCTCCTGTTCAGGTGGAAGTGGCCACACGCATTTTTTAATGGAAAGATAATTATATTAACAAATAAAAGGATAAAATAGCTACAAGGTTAACGTTAAAAAAGTGGCTACACACATAAAACCCTGTAAACATCGACTTAAAATTATTAAAAATAAAATATTTCTTGAAGTCTTATTCGTCAATGCCCCCTCCAAAACAATGCTGATATAACAACCATACCAAAGCCCCCAAAAGATAGATGGTGGGAAGGGATCTGGTTTCGTGCCCAGCAGCGATGCTCATCACCTAGAGAAGATCTGTGGTCCAGATTTTTTTAATTTTAATTTCAATTTCATATTTATAAAAATAAAATTTTATAAATTTTTTGATAAATGTACTCATCATCAATCTGGACAGTACTAATTTAATTTAGATGGTTCAATTTAATGTTATAATTTTCATAAATTGACTATCTAGATGTATTTTGGACATTCTAAATTCAATATTAAATTTTTATTTGCAAGGTTTAGATTTAAATTTTTTATTTTTATTTTATATAAATAAAAAATTATTAAAAACTTTAATATTGAATCTGTCTTGTTCAAAGTACATCTAGATAGTCAGTTTATGAAAATTATAATATTAAATTGAACCATCCAGAGTCTCAAATTGAATCAGTACTGGTCAAATTGATAATAAATATATTTATCAAAAAAATTTATAAATATTTATTTTTATAAATATAAAATTGAAATTGAAATTAAAATTAAAAAAATCTGGACCATTTAGATTTTTAGTCTAGATGGCCTAGATCTTCCTTAGGTGATGAGCATTGGTGCTTAGCAACTTACTAAGCATCGAAACTAGACCTTGGTGGGAAGAGGGCTATCACATAATAAGTGGGGTCCATTTTCTTTCCATTCTTAACAATATTCGGGATCCTTTGGCTATTCTTTCCTTTCTCTACGTTGCTTGGAATTTTTAAAGCCTATTTGAATTTTAGTTAGATATAATTAATTAAAAAAAATTGATTAATATAATTAATTTTTGATTATAATTGATTATGTCATAATCATGTTTGGATATTATTTTTCTAAAGTTAATTTTTGACATAATTGAAAATGTTTTGATAATATAGTTAAAATTAATTTTAAATGTATAAATTATTATAAAGGACATTACTTTTAAAAATTAAAATATTGATAAAATTATATATAATGATGCTAAATCTGTTTAACTCATTTAACAAGTAAAATATATTATTTAACTTATATATACACCTGATTAATTATATAAATTTCAATTATATTATATTGTAATATTAATAATTTAAGGGAAAACATAATTTTTAGTTCCTACACTTTGCGCACATTTTGTTATTGGCCCCTACACCTTATTTTTGTTGGTCTAAGTCCCTACAGTTTGCTCCGTCTACACTTTAGGTCCCTAACTTTTCTGAGGGGTGTTGCCATGGCACTAACAGTATTAATTATGCTGACATGGACATTAACTCTGTTAATTTTGTTGATGTGTATTTTTTGTGGGGGGGGAAGTTGATGTGTATTTGTTTAATAATTAGACCCCATCCACATGTGTATTGTGCAGACAAAAACAAGAAACAAGTAGGGCTAAGAACTATCGGAGGACCACAGCCCTTATTCCTAAGGCACAAAAAAGACTTCAGGAACTGAGAGTATTAGAGGACGCTAGAAAAGGTTTATCACTAATGCCGAAATAGTGAACATCGATATGTTCTACTCGTTTATACAGTTGATGGTATGTCTTTCATTTACTCATTCACTCATTTCATCCTATTATAGTATCTTCTCCTCATTCGTTTACTCATTATGGTCCCTGCATTTTGAGGTCTTTGTATTTTGAGAGTTCTATTCCTTGATCATGTCCTCTCATTTACTTGACCCTATTACTATAACTAAGATGCTCATGAAAAGTGTCCTTAATATTTTATTAATGTCTTTTGTGGTCTATGATTTTTACATGTCTTTTCTTCTAATTTCTGGCTTGCTCTATTTTTTAATTGCTCTGTGCTTGAACAAATTTTTTTATTTAAAATGATTATTGAAGTTTTATAATTTGCTACAAGGTTTAATATGAAATTAAAGACTGATTATTGCGACAAAAATATGGCTTACTGCAATTATTAATTTTTTTCAGTATGAAATCTATTTTAACTTTCATTAATACTTGCGATGCAGACATGTAGTTGCTTGTATATGTAACAAAAGAGAGGATCCACATTCCTATGTGGATTATTACTTAAGTTTGCAAGCTTTTATCACTTGTTACTCTCCTATCATAGAGCTTATCAATGGAGACAAGATGTGGCAAAAAGCTGATGGAGACCTTCTTGATCCCCCAGTACACCACAAGCATCCTGGCTGGCCAAAAAAAAAAAAAAAAGAGGGGTAGATGAGGATGTAAAGAAACAAAAAATGTGGGGTGGATGAGGATGCAACATCAACAAAGATGAGGAGAGAAAATACAAGCCTAAAGTATTCAGGTTATGGGAAGTATAGACATAATTGAAGGACTTGCAAGGATCCCAATAAGCAACCTACACAAAGGAAGAGGCTTGCTAAGCTACCTATCAAAAGTACAAAGAGGCAAACATTTTGCACACAAGAGTCTATTAATGCAATTCCTCCTGGTAGCAATCAACCTTGATT